CACAGGGGGTGGAGGAGGGGGCTCGAGTGGTGGTCGAGGTGGAGCTAGCGGTGGTGGAGGCCAGGGAGCTGCGTATGGAGGTGCAGCTGGTGGAGGCGGCGGTTATGGGGGTGGGCAGCAGCAGCATTCGCGCCGGCAGGAGACTCTCTCGTCGCATCAGCTTTGTGAGTGGGTTGCCCAGCGAGGTGGAGGGGGTAGTGGTGGAGCTCGCTACCAGTTTCGCTGGCGCACGGGCCGCCTTGGAGAGGTCTGCGGCCAGGAGGGGCACACTAAGGCTCGCTGCTTCTTCCACCTTGACGATGCGTGGCGCGAGGAGTTTGGTGAGCTGAAGAAGCCTGACTAGTTAAGATTGCTGAAGAGGAACATAGACGTGTTTGCTCTTGATTGGGACCAGATCTGCGCTGGCATGTATGCTATGTATTCTGCTGGTGTTAGTTCTGAGGGTGACTACTATTCTTGTGTACCTAGCTCTGCTAGTGTAGAGGCTGCTAGTCTAGATGCTTGTGAGTCTGTTAGCACAGGTGCAGTTCTTGCGGAGGCTTCGCACACCTTTACGTTGGATTCAGCGCGTCTCGATGCTTCTTCCGCGACTGCACCACAGTCACACCACTCATAGCACATGTCCTTGTCACTCGACCCCTCGTCTGGCCCAGTCGTTGCACGCAGCACCAGTGTTCTCCCGTGTCCTGCAGCGCCCTCTGGCTCCCTCACAGGTTTCCACCTCCCCTCGTTCCCCACGAACTTGGTGAGTCAGGCCGTCCTCCTGGATCAGTTGGTCACTACCACTACTCTTGGGGGCGAGCTCGTGGCGATCTGTACGGACTCAGTGAGTTGCGACCACCTCGTTACGTTCACCCGGAGGCCTGGGTATGGGCTGTACAGACTTCACGCTGAGTCTGCATAGGTAGCTGCGTCAGTTCAGGTAGCTGCGTCGTGCTCGTGTCGGTTTCTCACGCACCCGTCTCTCCTCTGGCACCACCGTCTTGTTCACCCCTCCATGCAGCGTCAGCGTCGCATGCACTCGCGTCTTCTTGTTTCTGGCCTTCCGAGGTCCTTGCCACCGCCCCCACCATCGCTTGCTCTGCCGTGCACTCCCTGCGTCGAGGAGCGGCAGCGCGCCGCTCCTCACTCCTCCTCGTTCACTCCGACCACTGCTCCTCTGCAGACCCTGCACATGGACGTGTGGGGCCCAGCCCCCGTTGCTGGGCAGGGCCGGGAGCCCTATTTTTTGCTGGTCGTCGACGACTACATGCGCTACACCACGGTGTTTCCCTCACGGAGCAAGGGCGACGTACGTGTTGTTCTGATCCCTTGGATCCGCGCTACTTGTCGTCAGCTGAGCGCACGGTTCAGTCAGGACCTCATGGTACTTCGTCAGCACTCTGACCATGGAGGTGAGTTTTCCTCCGGTCTCCTTGAGAACTTTTGTCGTGAGGAGGGCATCGCCCAATCGTTCACACTTCCGGCCTCTCCACAGCAGAATGGGATCGCTGAGCGCCGCATTGGCTTGATCATGGAGGTTGCTCGCACCTCCATGATCCATGCGGTTGCTCCCTATTTTCTGTGGCCGTTTGCGGTTTGATACGCCGCGCATCAGCTCTGCGGAGAGTCACTCTACACCGGGAGCTTGACTACGGGGAAGGCACGTGTTGTAGGAGTTATCGCAGCGTTCCTTAGCGTTCTCTGGCACTTGTGCGTTCATAGAGCTATTTGGCAAGAGTTTCACTAGGGAAATTTGCAGTGCAGAATGATTGTACAAGCAATGGCAAGAATGACTACACCAGAGCCTAGCAGCCTAGCAAGCAAGCTGGTCGACCGCCAGCGCAGCACGGTCGATGGTCTGCCAGCGTTGCGTAGAGGCACCGCGCCAACATTGCAGAAAGGCGACCTGCCAACAGAGCAAGTCCGCGGCTTGCCAACGCTGCACCAGGGCGGCTTGCCAACGTTGCACTCGTAGGTGACGGTAGCGCAGGTGCGCACCTACTTCGCAGGTGCGCGGCGACGGTCGAGCACGTCCTCTACCGTCGCGCAGGTGCCAAGTCGGCCCCGTGCCGACAGTTGCGCTAGAAGCTGCACGTCGACCTCGGGATACCAGCCCGAGGTCGCCCTCGCCATCGCAGTCTCGACGAGACTCGCGTGCCTCCGCGGAACCTCGTCGAGGTTACCTGGTCGACCCGGTCGACCACCCAGCGCCCTGGTCGACGACCTCCCTCGTCGACCACTACTCCCATCGAAGACCACCCTGGTCGACGAGCCCCTCCGTTGACCAGCACTATCTGCTGCTGCCGTCGAGCTCACTCCGCCGACGGCTCCTCGACAGACCCGAGTAGGAGAACGACCACCTCGTCGACCTTCCTGTCGAAATCGACCGCCGGCTCCCATCGTCGGCGGCGTCATAGAGGTCGGTCGCATGTCAACCACCCTGTCGACATGCACTTCCAGCCCGGCGTCGACCTCTGCAGAACAGTCGGCTGCACCTCTCGCGCACCCGACCACGAAGTCGGCTTCGTCCAAGCAAGGGCGAAGTCAACACCATATTCCCGTCAACACTCCCCTGCCGCGCTCACGCTTGGGCACCCAACCCACACGGCAGAACTATACGGAGAAAACTCGTCGTCGGCGTGCACCCCGCACACAGCACGCCGTCACCGCACCAACCATGCAAAAATGCATGGCACGTCATCATCCCCGTCGCCGACATCAGCAGGCGCACTTGGTCGATCGCGACGGAGCACCGGTTGAAGGCCAGAAAATGCAGCGCCTTCGTTAGGAAGTCGGCCGGCTGCTCGGTGGTCGGGATGTAATTCAGCACGAACTTCACGCGCTTCACCATCTGCTGCAGCGAGGCATATCGCCGCTCCATGTGCTTGAGGTTGCCCTTCAGCCCCAAGCCCTCAGCGACAGTGATGGCCGACTGGTTGTCCACGCGAAGGACAGTCTGCGTACCAGCGTCGAAGAGCTGGAACTCTGCAAGGAGGAAGCGCAGTCGACGCGCCTCCGTGCCAGCTTCCGTGGCCGCGACATACTCCGACTCGGTGGACGAGAGGGCCGTCCAGGAGACCTTGGCCCCTCCGAAGACGAACACGTAGCCTCCCGTGCTCGTCCGATTTTGCTTCGTGCAAGCCTCTAATCCTGGGCAGCGCAAGGGAGTACCTTCGAAGAATTACAATGGTGGCGGCACTGGTGGCAGCCGCAGCAGCAGGGGAGTGGACAAGGCGGCGATTCTGGAGGAGCACAATAAGGCACGGCGGGCAGTGGGTGTGCCGGGCCTCTCATGGGACGACAAAGTGGCAGCAGCAGCGAAGCAGTGGGCTGATCAGCTCGCCTCCAGCGGATGCAAATTGAAGCACGGCGGTGCCAAGGGGCTTGGGCAAAACCTGTACTAGAAGCGCCCTGCCAAGCTGAACAGTGCCGAGGACCGGGCAGCGGTGCGGTCGTGCGTGGCGGAGAAGAAAGACTGGAGGTACAACGCCGTGCCCAAGGGGTGTGCGGGCGGCAAGATGTGTGGGCACTACACGCAAGTGGTGTGGCGGGGTACCAAGCGTGTCGGGTGCACTGCTGCCAAGTGTGCGGATGGGGGGGGCATGTGGGTTTGCGACTACTCGCCGTAGGGCAACATGGTGGGGTCGACTCCGTATTAGCTAGCTACCGTAACACCCGTTTGCAGTGCAAAGGTGCTGAGTGTTGGCAGACCTTGTTATGCAAGGTGTAGTTTGCAAGCGGGCTGTGGTTCCTGTTTGCAGTGGAAAGGTGCCGGCAGATTTCGTTGGTATGCTCGTTGGTAGGTATGCAAGGTGTGGTTTGCAAGTTGGCTGTTTTTGCGTGTGTATGCATGAGAAACCAAATGAAATAAACGAGGGAGATCAAGCATGGAGTCTGGTGGGCTGGTGTTCTAGGTTCATTGCCTAGTGTTTGCTGTTTCTCAGATGCTCATGGATATTGTGGTAGTCATCTTATATATCAAATGATTGTGTTGTGTGCATATGACTGAGAAACTGAGTAGAAAAAAGCGATGCTGGTGGGATGTAGTTTGTGGTTGCGTTGTGGTGGAATGTTGCTAGCACCCGTTTCTAGTGGAATGTTGCTTGGAGATCTCGTTAGTATGCAGGGTATACCATAGTTTGCGAGTGGGCTGTGCTTGTGTGGGGGTATGCTTCAGGCATGAGGAACCAAGCAAAAATAAGTGAGGTAGTCTAAAATATTTATGTATGGTGTGTTATTTACAGAATGATATGGTTTCGTACTGGTAACATTGAGAACGAAGTGGTTGAAATCACACCTGAGAAGTGCTTAAGGAGGTGGAGAAGGGGGGATGAACCTTACTAGGTTGGTGATACATAGCTGCCTCAACGGTACATACATTGAAATAAGCTGGTAACAGACATTCCTAGCCGTTCCGGCTGTTCAGTGAGAAGAAGTCGTAATCTATCTGTATAAATATTACTATCACCTGAAAGGTCCTGTTACAACAACCCTCTCCCCCCTTTTGTCGGGGAGCTGGGCCTCCTCCCATTCTCCCCCATCAACCCCCCATACTCCACATCCCCCTTCCCCTCCTCCCCCAATCCCATCCCCACTCCTGCTCCCTCTTCCCCTTTCTGCACCGGCAGCAGCGGCAACCCCTCCTTCCCTCCCTTGCCCTCCTTCCCGCCCTTCTCCCCCTTCTCTTTCTCCACAGCCCAGCTATACAGCAGCATGCCCACAATAGCTATGAGAATGCCACTAAAGTTCTTGAGTGTGAAGGGGTCCTTGAAGACGGTCCACCCTAGGATGAGCACCACCACCGTCTTCATGTGCCGCAACACCTGGAAGGACGTTGCTGAGAACTTTCCGATGCACAAGTAGACGGAGAGGTTGCAGCCGATGGCAAAGGCGCACGAGAGGGCGATGAAGAACTAGAGGGGTGGGGACGGGTGGGGAGGGGTGGGGAAGGGTGGAGAGGGTTAGAGGGGGATAAGGGGGGGAAATTGGGAAAGGGATGTGAAACATATGAGAGGTCAATGGGGGTTGACGGCAAAGAATCAAGAGAGGAAGATGAAGAATTGGAGAGAAGGGGAGGGGAGGGGAGTGGTGGGTCGAGGGAAGAGGGCGAAGGGAGAGCGAGAGGGGAGCGGGCGAAGGGTTGACATTGTGGATGGAAGGGGGGACATGACCAGAGTGTTGGAGTAGGCTAGAGCTCGCTCTGGCATTTATAATGTTGTTCTTTTGTTATTTCGCCATGTTTAGAGCGAGTTACACTTTCGGTTCAGTTTAGGTTCATTTCTTAGTTTCTAGCACAAACTGAACACACCCTAAGTTCAATTAGGGTTTCCTAGATTTGTATCTCGACACTCTCTCCTAGTGGTATAATTCTCTCGCTACCTTCTCTCTCCCTAGCCATGGCTACCATATTTTCAGCTTTAACATGGTATCTAGAGCCAAATCCTTGGCGTTTTGTCCTAATCTATATCTCTTAGTACGGTTTAGGCCTTAGGCATCCGGCGCGCCACTGTTTACCTAGTCGAATTCCCTTTTCCCTACTATTTCGACCCTCAAATTTCCTCTGTTTTTTCAATCACGTGACCCGTCCCCTAGTCGCGCGCCCTGTCCCGCCGTCGCGCCGCCCTCCCCCTGCCCCGCCTCGTCGCGCGCCATACCCACCGCCGTGTCGCGCGCTCTGCCCGTCGTCGACGCGCTCGGCCTCCCCGCCATCGACGCGCGCGGCCTCCCCGCCGTCGACGCGTGCGGCCTCTGTGCCGTCTCCGCGCGCGCGCGTCTTGCCCACCGCCCTCCCTCTCCCCGGCCGCCCTCCCTTACCCTCTCGTAAGGCGTCCTGCCTCACCTCCCTGCAGGCGCCTTCCCCTCCCCTCATGGTGCGCCTTCTTCTGCCGCTTTTGCACCACCTCCTCCTTCTCCCATCACCCCATCCGCCTCCTCTCCCTCCTCCTCCACTCTTCATTCCTTCCTCCCTTCGTGCCTCTCCTCCCTTCCTCCACCTCCTTCCCCTCCGCATCTGCCACCTGGCTACGTGTCACTGGTTGCCACTTGGTGATCGTGACCCTACTTCTTCCTCACACTCCGCTCCTTCACCCTCCTCCTCCTCTTCTCTCTCCCTCTACTTCCCCCACCATCTCACCTCTTCCTCCGCCTCTCTTCTCTCCCTATCTGCTGCAGCTGGTAGCTGTCTGTGTTTTGTTGCCAATCTTCTTCCACACCTTCCCTCCTCCTCTTATTTCTCCCTTCAGTGGCGCAGTAGCAGACTACTTCGCCACTATCCCTCCTCTTGTTTCTCCCCTCAGCGGCGCAGCAACAGACTACTCCGACATTATCCCTCCTCCTCTTGTTTCTCCCCTCAGCGGCGCAGCAGCAGACTACTTCGCCGCTATCCCTCCTCCTCTTGTTTCTCCCCTCAGCGGCGCAGCAGCAGACTACTCCGACATTATCCCTCCTCCTCTTGTTTCTCCCCTCAGTGACGCAGCAGCAGACTACTTCGCTGCTATCCCTCCTCCTCTTTTTTCTCCCCTCAACGGCTCGGCAGCTGACTACCTCACCTCTATTCCTCCTCCTCTTATTTCCCCCCTCAACGGCTCAGCAGCTGAATACCTCACCCCTATTCCTCCTCTTATTTCTCCCCTCAATGGCTCAGCAGCTGAGTACCTCCCCTCTATTCCTCCGCCTCTTTTGTCTCCCCACCTCTGCTCCATTACTATCCCCTCCCCCTCATGGCGCCTATTCTCGCTCTTACCTCTCTTCCTCTGTGCTTCCGCCCTCACCCTCTTTCCACCGTACCTCCTCTCCTATCCTTGCCTTCTTCACCCTCCACCTCCTCCGCTGCACCTTCCTCCCTTCGCACCACCTCTCCTACATGCCGCTGGACCCCCCCTCTTCTCAACCCCTCCGCGTGGATTCCGCTGTCCCATCAGCGTCGCCGCCCTTCTTCCCAGCACGCTCCTGCCGCTGTCACCTCTGGTATTGGTTCTCTGGCCTCTGCTTTCAGCGTGACCATGCCATCTCACGATAGCATCCTTGGTGCTTCTCCTCTAATGGACCCTCGTTTTGTCGTTCCACTTTCTCCACCCCTTCAGAGCACTGCCTCTCACTCTCCTAGCCCTACGGCTGCTGCTCTCTCACTTCCTCGCACCTTGGATTTTGTCCTTGACAGTGCTGCTACTGACTCTGTCTTTCGTGACGCCGGTATCCTTCGCAATTTTCCTCGTCCCCTATCTGTTCATGGGGCTGGGGAGACCATGACCATGGTCTGCACTGGCACTTCCTCTCTTCCCTGTCCTGCCTCTCCCTCTGGCGATGTTACTGGCCTTTATGTTCCCTCTTGCCGTCATAACCTCCTTTCCCTCCCTGCCCTCCAACGCCTTGGTGTGCGAGCGCTCTTCCCCCCAGGTGCACTGTATTGTGATCTTCATTACCACGACCGGCACCTTGCTCGTTTCACCCTTTCTCCTACTACTCGCCTCTACACCCTTCGTGTTCCCATCCCCCCATCTATCCATCACAATTCCCCTTCGTCTGCCTCTCCCGTCTCCTCTTGCGACTGTCGCTCTCTCACCCAGCCTACCCTTCTTCTCCATCATCGCCTTGGCCACCCCAATTTTCCTCTCCTTCGCATCATGGTCAATTCGAAGCTGCTTCATGATCTCCCTTCCTCTCTCCCGCCCCTTCCCCCCTCTCCCGCTCCTCCATGCACCCCTTGTGTTCAAGCCATGCTCTCCCAATCTCCTCATCCTTCTTCCCCTTCTGCCTCCCCCAAACCCCTTGATCTTGTGCATATGGACCTCTGGGGTCTCTCTCCCATTGCCTCCCGTCAGGGTCATCGCTACTTTCTCCTTCTTGTCGATGACCACTCTCGCTTTGCCACTGTCTATCCCCTCCGTGCCAAATCTGACGCCCCCTCCCTCATCATTCGCTGGGCTGAGCAGGCGCGCCTTCGCTTTGGCCGTCCTGTCGCACGCCTCCACTCTGATGGTGGTGGCGAGTTCTTTAACCACTCTCTCTCTTCTTACTGCTCCTCGCATGGCATTCGCCAAACCTCCACCCTTCCGCACTCTCCCGAACAGAATGGTGTTGCCGAGCGTCGTATTCGCACTCTCATGGAGGTCACCCGCTGTCTCTTTACTCATGCATCTGCTCCACATTCTCTTTGGAGCTACGCTCTTGTTCACGCCACTCTTCTTTCCAACCTTCGCCCTCATCCCCTTCGCCCTTCCATTACGCCCTTCCATTACACCCTTCCAGCTCTGGACTGGCCGCCAGCCCTCCGCCCGCCCTCTTTGGGTGTGGGGTTGTGTCGCTCATGTCCTCATCAATCCCGCCGATTGAGCACGTAAGGGTGGGAAGCTCGCTCCCAAGACGCAGCTCTGTGCATTCATTGGCATCAACACTGACTGTCCTGGCTATCTTTTCTATGCTCCCTCCACTCAGTAGCTCATTCGCATCCAGGATGTTATCTTTGATGAGACTCGTTCTCCATTCATCACCCCCCCTCACACCCCTCCTCCTCCCTCTGTTCATTGGTCTGACTTTGATCCGCTGCCCTCTGCTGCTCCCTTTCCTTCTCCCCTTCCTCCTGCCCCTGCTCCGCCTCCCCTCCTTGCCCCCTCCACCCCCCGCTCTGCTGTCATCTCCGGCACCTCTCTTCCTGCCTCTTCCTCTTCTGCTCCCATGCCCTCTCCTTCACAACATCCTTCTCCTCTTGCTCCTTCTGCTCATGCTCCCCCACCCTCTCCCTCACCACCTCCTTCTGCTACCCTTCCTTCTGCTCCTGCTCCTCCCTCTTCTCCGCGACTCACCCGCTCTATGACCCGTGCAATGTCCAACTTTCAACACTCTGCTCTCTTTACTCGTCTCTCTCCCTCTCCAGACGTCGATCTTCTCGAGGATCGATTTGAGGAGCTGTTCTCTGTTCATCCCGTTTCACCCCTCCTCTGTGTCACCGTTGGCGACTTCTCCAATTCTCCCACTCTTCTCTCTGCTGACACTGCCGCTATTCCCACCCCTCAGACCTATTCCGAGGCAGTGTCTGGCTTTCATGCAACCGAGTGGATGGCTGCCATCATTGCCGAGTGTGAGGCATTCACCAGAACTCAATCTTACATTGACTCTGTGCCCCCCCTGGTGCCACCATTGTCAAGGGCAAATGGGTCTTTCGTGTCAAACAGTTGCCTGGGGAGCTCCCTGTCTTCAAAGCCCGTTACTGCGCCAAAGGTTTCACTCAACGTGAAGGCATTGACTACTTTGCCACTTACTCCCCCACTGCCCGTCTCCCCACTCTTCGCCTCCTTCTTGATCTAGGCGCCCGCTGGGATTGGGAGATTCACTCTATGGATGTCTCCAATGCCTTTCTCCACGCCGAGCTTCATGAACGCATTTTCCTTGAGCGCCCCACTGGGTTTCCTCGCCCCTTCCCTCCAGGCACCGTCTGGGAGCTGAAGCGCCCAGTGTATGGTCTTAAGCAGGCCCCGCGCGAGTGGCATGCTAAGCTCGCCTCCACTCTTCACTCTCTTGGCTTCTCCACCTCCTCTTCCGACCCCAGTCTCTTCATTCGCACTTCCCCTCACAGACTTTACATTCTTGCCTACGTCGATGACTTGGTGCTCCTCGCTGAAGATTCTGCCGACCTTGCCGCTGTCAAGCAGGCCCTCCAGGCGCGTCTCCTGTGCAAGGATCTTGGCGAGCTTCGTCATTACCTCGGCATGGAGATCCGTCGTGATCGTGCTGCGCGCACCATCTCTCTCTCTCAATCCTTCTACATTCACTCCATTCTCGAGCGCTTTGAAATGTCGCAGGCCAAGCCAGTTTCCACTCCTCTTCTCGCTAACCATCAGCTTACTGCCCCTGCTGTTCCCGCTCCCTCCTCAGAATTGCGAACCTATCCTGAGCTCGTTGGGCCACTCATGTATGCTATGATGTGCACTCGCCCCGATCTTGCTTACCCCCTCAGTGTCCTCTCTCGTTTTGTTGGCCTTGGTCGCCACACTGACGTACACTGGGCGGCTTCCAAGCGCGTTCTCCGCTATCTTCGCGTTACCTCTGATCTTGCACTCACTCTTGGTGGCTCTTCTCCCCCCGTTCTTTCCGGTTACAGTGATTCCTCCTACGCTGATCCTCGCCCTGATCGCCGCTCCTCTCAGGGTTATGGTTTTACTCTTGGCAGTGGCCTCATCAGCTGGCGCTCCACTCGTTCATCCTCTGTATGCCTTTCCACCTGCGAGGCTGAGTTGTACGCATGCACATTGGCAGCTCAGGAGGCTTGCTGGCTCTCCTTTCTCCTTGCTGAGCTTGGTCACTCTCAGCCCTCTGTGACGCTCTCTTGTGACAGTGCGAGCATGATCCACCTCACTGAAAATCCTGTCTATCATGCTCGCAGCAAACACATCAAGGTCCGCTACTTCTTTGTGCGCGAGCTGGTGCAGTCTGGCTTCCTCTGTCTTCGCAAGGTGGCCGCTACTGCCAATCTTGCTGACATTTTCACAAAGGCTCTCCTTCGTGCGCCACACCGTTTCTACGTGCGCGCGCTTGGGCTCACTCGTCTCGCCACTTCTGTGGGTGTTCCGATTCGCTAGGTGTTTTATCCCAGAGCTTCACCTAGCCTGGGGGTGTGTTGGAGTAGGCTAGTGCTCGCTCTAGCATTTATCATGTTGTTCTTTTGTTATTTCGCCATGTTTAGAGCGAGTTACACTTTCGGTTCAGTTTAGGTTCATTTCTTAGTTTCTAGCACAAACTGAACACACCCTAAGTTCAATTAGGATTTCCTACATTTGTATCTCGACACTCTTTCCTAGTGATATGATTCTCTCGCTACCTTCTCTCTCCCTAGCCATGGCTACCATATTCTAAGCTTTAACACAGAGGACAAGGACCGATTCTGGGATCAAAGCGGAGCAGGCAGTAGATGCGATGTTGATGCTCACCGCAACGTTGCTGGTGACGGGGAACTCAGAAGGTTCTGCGAGGTGAGGAGGCAGTTGAGGAAGGGCCCGATCAGCGCGAGAGTGACTGCCTGGATGGGCGCTGTTTGGCTTAACAGGTCAAATGACCCCACGTTGTGCTTCCTGTGGAGCTCGGCCACGAACTTTAGAAGAGATGGGACGTGAGGGGGATAACAAGGATGGAAAGAGAAAAGACCCAATGCAACAGACAGCAAAAAAACTGAGATCTGTGAAGGGGAGGGGCGAAAGTGGGAAGTGGGAGAGAAATTTAGGGTATAGTTGGTCTCCTCCATGCCACAGACTAGCGCAACAGATCGAACGACCCCACTTTTTGCTTTCCATGCAGCTTGCCACCAAATGAGGGGGCAAGAGGAGGCAAGGAACAGAGTTCAGTATTTGAGGCTCCAGACTTAGCGTTCAGGGTTCCAAAGTCAGAGGTGAGGGTTTGGGATTAAGTATGGGGATTCGAATTCGATATAAGGTTTTTGAAGCTCTTAAAGCCCAGCCCCCGAATCACAAAAAGGCCTTTACAAACTGGAGGCGGTTTGTGTCTCGTTCCTACTGGTTTCAGGAAAGGAAGGTTTAGGGGAGGTTTTCGAACCTCAAATCTCTGCTTTCCCAAACCTATTCTCCCGCGTTGACTTCCGTTGAGTAATTCGGGTGTTGCCCTTTAAGTTGAATGCGGGGGTGTGCTACAGCTACTGTAGCCATGACATGCAGCACAGCCGCCTCAGTTGGACAGTGATGCGATAGGCCCAAGCGCATTGAGAGATTTGCTTGTGATAGTGCCCACCCGTGCTTCCAAAAGCATAGTAGCCGTAACAGTTCAAAGGTGAGTACAACCACCTTGGAAGAGATGTCACTTTGGGAGAAAGGGTGGTTGGGGACAACCACCTTGTCAGTGACAGTGGACACGCCCACCCCTAACAATCCCAATCACCCTTTCCCCCAACTCCTTACAGGCTAACGCTGCTGCTGAATGAAGAAAACTCACGATCTGCTGCAGAGATGTCGATACCACCACCACGGTAGCAGTATCGAGCCCGAATGCGTTGACAGAGACGTCAGTGACTGTGCACATGCCCACCCCCAGCAACCCCCACCCCCACATCTGCCACACACATAACCCCCTCCCCCCCCCCCAGACCCCTCTCCCTGTCATACATCCCACCGCGCGGCACCCGCGTCCTCCTTCCAGACCAGACGCTTGGCTCCTATGGCGCCTGAGCAGGGCTCTCCTCTCCCCCATCCTTACCCTATCCCCCTTAACCTGGTTTCTGCCCTGTCTCCTCCCAGATCAGATTTTCGGCTCTGAAGCTGTGCCTTCAGCCCTCCCCGACCCCCCACCTCGCCTGTATACCTATTGCTCCTCCCACCCCGTGTTTTGCCCTTTTACTCTCTCAGGACCCGCCCTTTGCTCCCAAGCCACCCCTGTAGCGGCTCTTGCACCTCTATCCCGACCTTTTCCTCCCTGCCCTTCCTACCCCGAGCCCGCCCCCATCTTCCCCTCAGGTCTTGCTCTGGGGCCCCATGTCAAGCCCGCCGCTCTCCCCAAACCCTCACCCCACCTCTGCCCCCCATGTCCTCCCTATCTCTTTCTTTGCCTCATCTCCCTTTCAGGCCATGCTCCCGATCCCCGCGCCATGCTAGGAGTTCGCCCTAGTCTCATACCCCGCCCCTTCCCTCCCTGCCCCCCCTCCCCGATCTATGCCCTGCCTTCCTCCCAGACCTGATTATCTACTTATTCCCACCCTGCCCCTCCCCCCCTGGCCTTTGTACCCTTCACTCTACCCTCCTTTCCCTCCAGGCCAGATGCTAGGCTCCTGCGCCACGCCTACCGACTCGGGACTACTCTATATTGGCCTCGACGCATGTGTCGAGCCGTGGACCTGCGCCCTGTGCAACTTGACCTGCGGGGCTGCACTCAATTCTGCTATGGCCCACATTGCCTCCGAGCTGCACTACACCAAGAAGCTCTCGGCAGCCCACCTCCCTGCTGCAAAGGAGAAGTACAATAGATGGAACGCCACGGCCTTCGTCGCCCTTCCCCAGGTTGCCTATTTTCTTCCCTAGCTGTAGATCGATGTTTGACAGATCCTGCTGTGCTCGTTTCACTGTCATGTTGTTGCTATAACTTGGCTGAATATAATGAAACGATGTGTCATATTATAGCTTGCTACATGTCCCAACTTCACTTTCACCTATGTGGTTTGGAAAGGTGTACTCAATTCCTAACTTACTTATCAGCCTCGCTCACCTTGATGCGCGATGGGCTCTGCCCTATATACCATGATAAAACATCTCAGAATACTATGCATAAACATGAGTGGATCATCCGCCCCTTTAAAAATGAACGCTCTAAAAAGGCTGGCTCATTGACATCGTTGTACTAGTTAATACCCGCCTCACCAACAATGTTAAAAGGCTAGAGCTTCGCTTTCGCCCTCACGCCTCTACTCACACTATGGCCCGCCAGGGTAACACCCCCTCATCTGGCTCACGTCCCTCTCCCGGAGACATCTCTATCCTCGTCTTTAACATATCCTTCTCTCTTACCCCTCATATACCATTAACTGACGGGCGTCTTCTCTCTATTGACGTCAAATTCCACCAAGAGAAAATAAGGCTCATAGCTCTATACGCCCTTGGTGGCGCTCATGACTTGCCCCGATGTTGGACTCTCCACCAGCTGCGTCTGCAACCTTACTTGTTGGGAACTTCAACTCTCTAATCCACCCTTCTGATCGCAACCACCCCCCGCACGGTCAGGAACGGAGTGAAGCCTCCACCATCGAGGCATTGCTGTCGGAACACTCGTTTGTTGATATCTTCCGTGCACTCCACCCCAACGCCACCTTTTGTTTTCTTACTTTGGCCGTCCTCGCGCCACCCCTCGACCTGTGGTCCCCCCATCCGTATTACCTCGACCCACTATACCATCTTCTGTGGGCCTTCCGCCTACGGTCCCTGCACCTGCAGTACCCTTACCCGCTATACCCCAATCGTCGGGCCCTCCGCCTGCAGCACCACCACCAGCCTCCCGATTGGACTAAATGTACATCTCCACCTCCTTCTAGAACCGACTCGTAGCTTCCCCCTACCTCCTCACCCCAGTCATTATATCTGATCACTCCTACGCTCCATTATGCTCCCTAGCATTCGAGCTATCGTCCAAAGCCCCCCGCCCATAGAGACTTAGCCCGTCCCTCCTCTCGCGTCCATACATAGCTGAAGTTTTGGATGACCCCATCCCCACCTTTCCCCCCTCTCCAGCTTACTATCGATCTTGGGCGAGCTGGCTTGTAGCGTAGGATAAGTCCAGACAACATGTTATGGCGGCGAATAGAAGGCAGCCGAATTGTTGTTGGTGCAGGCGATGATCGATTGCAGGAGATCTGGCTGCGCCGTCCTCTTGGCTTCACTGGCACTTTCCCGCCTAAGACCTAGTGGAGCCTGAGATGACCATTCTACGGTCTCCGCCAGGCACTCCGTGAGTGGCACGACACTCTTCACTCCACACTTGCTGACCTTGGTTTCAGACCTTCTACCGCCGACCCGTCGATGTTCGTTCGTTATGGGCCTACACCTTTCTTCATCCTCGTCTACGTTGACGACTTGGTCTTCGCTACAGCAGACAGGCTTGCTCTGGCTTTCGTGATGTCCGGACCGCTGAAAAGACACACGTGCACTAACCTTGGTGAACTGCGCTACTACATTGGCGGCAGAGGCAGAACCGCTCGCACCATCACAATCACTCAATCACACATCGTGCTGCAAGTTCTTCAGCGGTTGGGTTTGAGTTCTCCACCACACAACCCACTCCTCTTGCCGTTGACCATGGACTCACTGTTCTTGTTCCTGACAAGACCTTTGAGTCCAGTGGTCCCTACATAGAGCTTGCGGGTTGCCTCATGTACTTGATGACCTCTAATTGTCCAGACCTTGCTTTTCCTCTCAACATCCTGGCTCGCTATGTTGCAACTAGGAGACACCATCTTGTTCACTAGGCGGCAGCTGTCAGGGTAGCAAAGTACCTAGCGACTACTTCAGGCATGGGTTTGTGCTTGGGTCCGACGGCGTGCTTGCTGGCGGGTCCGTCGGCGGGCTTGCTAGCGGGTCCGTCGGCGGGCTTGCTGGTGCGCTCGTTAGCGGGTCCGACGGCGGGTCCGTCTGCGTGCTTGCTTGCGGGTCCGTCGGCGGGCTTGCTGGCTCGCTCGTTGGCGGGTTCGTCGGCGGATCCGTTGGCGGGTCCATCGGCGGGCTTGCTGACGGGTCCGTCGGTGGGTCTTCTGACGCGCGCGCTGGCGGGTCCGTCGGCGGGTCTGTTTACTCGCATCCTTGCGTGCTTGCGGGTCCGCTGGCTCGTGTGCTGGTTGGTCCTTCGGCGGGTTTGCTGGCTCGCGTGCTGGCGGGTCCTTCGGCGGGTCCGTCGGTTGGCAAGCTGGCTAGCGCGTTCCTGTCGTGCGCGCTGGCGGCACTTGTTGGCGCGCGCTACTGTGAGCTTGCCACAGGCCGCTGGTGCGTTCGCAACGTGCATGATGCGACGGGCGGGTCTAAGGGCAGCAGCTAGGACGTAGGCCTAGGAACTTGATAGCTCAATACCGTGTTAGAACACTATCTTTGCTTAGCAGGCAGGTTTAGGGCCTAGGCTTAGTAGTCTAGGCCAAGCGGTATTGAGAGTTGTGCCAAGGGAGAATCGAGAATGGGTTGGTTCAATAATAGAAAACAACACAAGTTATAATTCAAACCAAAGGTGCACCACCACCAGCAAAGAACAATAACAGTAACTACAACAAGCATGATATATATGACATATAACTTTATCAGTCGTTTCCCACCTCGGCCCCGTGCCCGGGACCTTTTCGCTTGGCCTGTGTCGCCCGGGCTAGCAACCCCCTGCTGCCCCCGCACCGGCAGTCCGCGCTGCCCCCCCGACTGTAGTCCCTGCTGCCCTCGTGCCTGCAGCTCATGCAACTCACTTGCCGGCAGCCCCTACTGCGCGCCTCCTTGCATCTGGGGCTGGTTTCCTCCTAGACACCCTTGCTGCATCCCTTCCTGCAGCTGGGGCTGGTTCCTCGCTTGACGACCCTTTTGCGGAGCTGCCAGCAGCTCTTGCCGCGTCTCCTCTTGTGGCTCTTCCATTTCCACCTCTGGCACCCGCTGCCCCCCCCGCCTGCAGCTTCTGCTGCCCCCCCGCCTGCAGCCCCTGCTGTCCCCCCGCCTGCAGCCCCTGCTGCCCCCCCGCCTGCAGCCCTTGCTGCCCCCCTGCCTGCAGCCCCTGCTGCCCCCCCGCATGCAGCCCCTGCTGCCCCCCCGCCTGCAGCCCCTGCTGCCCCCCCACCTGCAGCTCCTGCTGCCACCCCGCTTGCAGCTCCTACTGCCCCCCCCGCCTGCAGCTCCTGCTGCCCCCCCGCCAGCAGCTCCTGCTGCCCCCCCGCCTGCAGCTCCTGCTGCCCCCACGCCTACAGCTCCTTCTGCCCCCCCACCTGCGGCTCCTGCTGCTCCCTCGCCGGCTGCACCTGCTGGCCCCCCAATTGCGGGGTCTGGTGGCCCTCCCAGTCGGGGGTTCTGATGGCCCCCTGCCAGCAGATAGAGCTGGCTCCCCACTTGACTCCCCTGCTCCCCCCCTCTCCGGGGTTCTTGCCGCGTCTCATCTCGCAGCTCCCGCTGCCCTCTCAGCTATAGCTGGGGCTGGTGCTCTTCTAGACTCCCATGCTGCGCCCCCAGCCATCCGTGCAGCCCCTCTGGCCGCGGCCCCCGCTCCCCCCCGGTCAGCATCAAGCGGGGTCTCTCCTGCACAACTCCTGACATGCGCCTCCGTTCCTGCCTCCGGGCCAGCTGAGGTCCGCGCGGCGCCGTGTTGTCGCGTTTTGTGAGTGCCGGGAGTGCTAAGGAAGTGTCAAGGGCTTGCCGACGCCTATCGTGCGACTCCTGCAAGCGCCAGCGATGTGCCTCCCATGCTGCTATCGCTGCGTCAGGGGCAATGCCTTGCCTATGCTCCCCTTGAGTGCGTTCGGCCACTTCCCCAATGGCCATATTTAGGTCGGTTTCGAGGCATTGTCGCTTGGTTGGTTTGGCGAAGAGGCATTGGGCGACTTCGTCATGCATGCGGCGGATGCGAGGACCCTTGTGCTCCTCCGAAGGCTCTCTCCACCTCTTGTAACCAGCTGTTGTGCGTGTTGATGTTTCTCCCCCCCCTTTGCTTCCTGTGGCCCCCTTTCGTCGCACTGTTACGTCCTCCCCCCTCCCAGACCCCGGGGTCCCCCCAGCCCAGGTCGTCTTCCATAGATCTGGTCTCCGGCCGAGAAATGTCTCTTTACTTGCCTGAAACGGTTTGCTCACGCTCGGCACATGAATGTCGCGGACGTCTCTGCCCGGTCCCCGATTTTGCTGTGGCATCGCGGATCTAGATGCTAGGGAGCGGATTCGTTGTTGGGCGCAGGTCTCGGTGTCGGGGCGCTGGTTTCACGGCCAATGCGCGGATTTCAATGCTATGGCTCGGTTTTCGTTGCTAAGGGGCGAAATTGCGCTGCCTAAGGCGCCCAGGCGCTGCTGAGGCTAGATCGCGCTGCCTGGTGGCGTCGGGGCACTGGTAAGGGGCGAAATTGCGCTGGTGATAACGTTGAGCGACGGTTTCGCTCCTACGCATACCACACATCGTAGGCGGCGATCTCGCTGGCTGGCACACTGTCGGTCGTCCTTGGCTTGATCTCGCTGGCTGGCGCGCGCTGTCGGTCGTCCTAGGCGGCGATCTCGCTGGCTGGCGCGTGCTGTCGGTCGTCCTATGCGGCGATCTCGCTGGCTGGCGCACTGTCGGTCGTCCTAGGCGGCGATCTCGCTGGCTGGCGCACCGCAGGTCGTCCTAGGCAGCGATTTCGTTGGCTGGCCCACTGCAATGCATCCTAGGCAGCGATTTTGTTGGCTGGCGACGGAAGATGCGTCCTAAGCAACGATTTTGCTGGCTCGCAACGTAAGATGCGTCCTAGGCGGCGATTTCACTGGCTGGCGACCTAAGAGGCGTCCTAGGCAGCGATTTTGCTGGCTGGCGACTTAAGATGCGTCCTAGACGGCGATTTCTTCCGTGACAGTCGGCGATTTCCCTAAAATTATTGGTGGTGGATAGTTAGTGGAGGAAGCCGAAACGCAAGGTGGAGGCAGGCAGGCAGCCTTGGGATCATTTCGTGTATGTCTGGACGACCTTGACTGGTTGGTCAGCTCAGAAAAAAAAAAAAAAAAATCCACCAGTTTCTACACCATCCCGCACCTTACGCATGTGAAAGATAAAACGAGGAATGATGAAACAGAGAAGGGGGTTTCACTAGCAAACAATGGGATACATATAGCAAACCCTAACAGGGCTGTACTCACTATAGAGTACCCCACTGCAGACTAGAGAAATATAACATTCTGACACACCCCCATAGTCAACGTGGGGTATAATCAGCACAGCAAGCAGTCATAGAATAGTTCACAAGAACAAGCAAAGCTAGAGGCAGTCACAGAGGGCAAGTGAGGAGGAGGGACTGTGAGAGGAGAGGAGATGGGAGGCGACGGCGGAAGCTGCAGACACACTGGAGCGGCTGGCTTAGTGGCTACCGAAGCAATGGCCCGGACTTCAGGAGTAACTGGCTCCGCGGCTACGCCGAGCGGCTGGAGCAACTGACCCACGGGCGACTGGCGACTACCGGAGATTGTAGCCTCCGGACTACTGGCGCTGCTGGCGACACGACAGCTACCTCCGCTCATCCTCCCCCAACTGTCCCACCCCCCTTTCACACACCCCTTGCTGCACCCCTAGCTCCACTCCCACGTCACCCCCCTAACGCCACTCGGCTCCCACACACCCACCCCCCTCAGCGGCAGCTGCAGCAGTGGGAGACGGAGGAGGAGGAGGAGCAGGGGACGGCTCACACACCCGCCACCCCCATACCGCCACCCCCATACCCCAAACGCAGGGCAGAAACGCGGGCAGCAGCTGGGGCGGCGTGGGAGCGGAAGCGGGGCGGCGCGCGGGCCCCCAGGGCGCCTCGGCGAGCGACGGGAGGGGGCGACGCGCGGGCCCCCAGGGCGCCGCGACGGGCGACGGGAGGGGCGACGCGCTGGCCCCCAGGGCGCCGCGACGGGCGACGGGCAGGGCAACGCGCGGCCCCCCAGGGCGCCGCGACGGTCGACGGGCAGGGTGGCGCGCGGGCCCCCAGGGAGCCGCGACGGGCTACGGGAGGGGGGGCGACGCGCGGGCCCCCAGGGCTCCGCGACGGGCGACGAGCAGGGCGACGCGACGAGCGACGGGAGGGGGGGGGGGGACGCGCGGGCCCCCAGGGCGCCTCGACGGGCCCCCAGGGCGCCTCGACGGGCGACGGGCAGGGCAGCGCGCGGGCCCCCGGGGCGCCGCGTGAGGCAGTAAACCACCGCGCGCCTCGCGGCGCACGGCGGGCAGAAAACCGCCGCGTGCCCCGAGCGCGCGGCGGGCAGAAAACCGCCATGCGCCCCGAGCGCGTGGCGGGAAGAAAAAACGTCGCGCGCCACGGGGCGCGCGATAGACAGGACAGCAACGGAAGCAGGTGGGCCCACAGGCCAGGAGCGATCTCCCTCTAATACCATGTGAAAGATAGAACGAGGAATGATGAAACAGAGAAGGGGGTTTCACTAGCAAACAATGGGATACAAATAGCAAACCCTAACAGGGCTGTACTCACTATAGAGTACCCCACTGCAGACTAGAGAAATATAACATTCTGACAACGCAAACCTAAACGAATGGTCTCTAACAAGAACTACCACGTCAGCATCCTCCTACAAAGTTCACTTCTGCCCCAGCTCCAAACTTATGTAAATTGCTCATGAAGCCCACACACCAGCGGTACGCGCCTTGAGAAGACACGTTTGCAGAAGCATAATGCAAACCAAACTCATCAACAAAATCTCTAAGCTGTAATATAATGGAGTTTGAGTGTTTTTGGTGCTGTACACATTTCAACTCCATCCCACAGCCCTCCACCACCATTTCTTGCCATTTCTCCCAGCACACTAGCACACAATGAGCCACCGTGTCGCACATCACATTTGAGGATCATGTGCCGCACGCCGCGGCGTGTGCTTAGAATTACGAAGGAATCCAGGATGGTCTTGTGTAGCGGTTTTTCCTTTTAAGCAAGTGTCGTGAGCAGAATTTATATTTTATAGAATACATATCTATATATCAAACAAGTTCAGACAACATCGCTAAGTGTTTAACAACTCCACTCGCAAAACTGTTGCCGCTTGAGTTGTCACTTACCATTTGACCCCTCTTGGCCGCTAGAGGCAAATGCCCCTAGCGTTCACCTGAACACCACGATGAGGTGGGGGTTATTCGTCCGGGAAAACCTGTTTGGGAGGGGAGGGTTAGAACAATCGGAGAAAACACCTCAGGAAATATCTCTTCTGTTGTTAGTGCGAGGTTGCCAGGTTGACCACCAGCAGTGAAGATCGCCATTGAAGGAGGAGGAGGAGGTATCCCAACCTGATCGAGCCCAACCAAACCTGAGCGATACCTCCCAGACCCGATCGACTCCTACCCGACCAAACCTC